TAATACTGCATTTCGTTTTTTTAAATATAAAACCATAGCTATAACCATTTTTTGTTATTATTATTGTTATTATTGTTGTTATTATTATTATCATCATTATTATCTTTTATTAAGAAATTTATTAAAAGCAAAGTACGATTGCATTTTAACGGTATTTTGTTATGATTTATTTTCTAACAATAATAAATACTTGTAGAATTATTTTACGTCTTAAAATAATTCAGTTATTTATATATTATAAGGCTACTGTTATTTATGACTTATTTGGAATGACAGAAAAAAATTTATCACGATATGTTGATTTCTTTATTTCTCACACAAAATTTTCGAATTAACAGAGGGAATTTGTTGTTAGAGGATGAAAAATTATTCGACTTTACAAAGCTTGAGTTATCCGTGGTCCAAATTAACCGGAAAACTTTAATAGTAACTTTATAATGATAACTTTAATATCAATTAAGCGATTTCAAGGGACTAAAATCACCGGTGTTAAACTGACCGGGAATTAACTGTATTACATATTTTATAAATGCAAACAAGGTTTCTAAAAGAAAAACTAAAGGTCTTATCGTCAAAAGCCTTTTATAAGAGAGAGTAAAATAATATAAACACGCCTTTTTACAAAAGAGTACGTAAAAAACAACATAAAACAATAAATAGTATATGAATATAAATCGAACTGAAGTATAAAATAAAATTTGAACAAACATGACTTAAAACTATAAAACATTATTTTGTCACAAGATAAATTAATTAAAAAGTGTTTTATGATATATTTAATTGAGAGAATGAAATCTTTTAACTTATTTTTAAAACAGGATAAGTAAGGGGTTAGTCAAAGTTAGGCAAAACAATTTTGACTATATCCAGTGATTAGCCGCACGATAAGTGACAAAAAATTTATTGAATTTTGTTCAACAGAATTAGGGATGGCAAAATTCCCGGAAATTTTTAATCCCAGGATTTCGGGATTGAGAAATTTATCCCCAGGAAATCCCGGGAAATCCCGGGATTAAATAGAAAAAAACGCACTAAAAACGCTACGAATACTTTTTAAGTACTCATCAAACACTTAAAAATGATTAGTTTAGTGATAATAAACTAAAATATTTAATACATTAATGAACCTAAAATTAAGTTACAAACATGTTTTAACTTAATTTTGTTATATTGTATCTTATCTAAGACTTTTAGAAATTAATAAACCTAAGTACTTTAAATTATAAAACAATACCTTAAAATCATAACACAGTATAAGTAAAAATAATAATTAGAAAAATATATAAATATGCATGACTTCATTAGTTAAACGGACGCTAAGAAAATTTTGTAACTTAATAAACCTGTTTTTTGTTAACTTTATTAATAAAACTGACTTAAAAAAAACTTTGTAAATCACGCACATATTTGAAATTAAAATTAATGGAAATAAAAATGGAAATAAAAAATAAAATAACTTTAATTGAAGTAATTTTGAAAAAAATTATTTATTTGAAAAAAATTTTTTTTAAGGGGGGGGGGGCAAGTGCCCCTGCTGCCCACCCGGTTGCTACGGGGCTGAGGTATACCTTCTATTGAAGTTTTTTTCTATTAAAGTTAGTTCAATAGAAAAAAATTTTAATAGAAAGTATACCTTCTAATAAAAACTTTTATTAAAAACACATGCTGTTTCCACCAGCAAGCGCTAAAATTTTATTTTTTATATATACTAGTTTTAATATTAGAGAGAGAGAGAGAGAGAGAGAGAGAGAGAGAGAGAGAGAGAGAGAGAGAGAGAGAGAGAGAGAGTATAATGTTATATTTTATATGTTTAATTGTACATTTTTGTAGACAAGCAATAATGTTTTGAGTTTTTATTTTTAATAAAATATAAAAAAAGAGAGTTTTTTAATAGGAAAACATTTCAAAGAGAATAAACAGTTACACAACCAAACAAACTACCATACCAAAGACGATGTGCAAATTACTTAATTACAATTATAAGCTTAAACTATATTAACTTTTACTTTTTTTTGGCGTTCCCGAAATCCCGGGAAATTTCGGAGACTAATCCCGGGATTTCGGGATGAACAATTTGTACGAAATCCCGGGATTTCGGGATCCCGAAACAGATTAGTTCTTAAATAATTATTATTTCTCATGTTAAACTTGCTAAAGGGTTGCTAAAAACTAAAGTAGATAAATCATACTTCAACATATAAACTAAAAATAAATATACATTCAGTTTAAATACATATAAACTGAATGTATATTTATTTTTAGTTTTTATATACATTCAGTTTAAATACATATAAACTGTATTTATATAAAAAATATTTATAAATAATATTTAAACAGATTGCATGTTTCTGATTTATGTTCCAGTATGCATACCCTGCAAACATTGGCAAACGGGCCCCATACGGTTTTTATCTGGGTTTACGGAACGGGATTCATTTGGATTTGTGTTCTGGTTTTCAGACAGGTATCGTACGGTTAAAAAATGAAACCAGATACTATAATATCTGGGATAAAAAATCTGGGATTTTGGCATATATATATATATATATATATAAATATATATATATATATATATATATATATATATATATATACTTTTTGATATATACATAAATATACATATGCATATATATATATATATATATATATATATATATATATATATATATATATATATATATATATATATATATATATATATATATATATATATATATATATATATATATATATATATATATATATATATATATACTTTTTCAATTGATATTTGTAGAATATTATAAAATAATTGTTTAATATATTTTCCTTTGATTTTTTTTTAAATATTGCGAATTGAAAAAATATTTTTCTGCTTAAATGCTTATCGTCAAAAAAATAATCAAAATACGTGATGTTTTGGCCACAAAGTATATTTTTTCGATAGATCGATGTCAATATTTTTAAAATGACAATTTAAGTTGTTATGTTTTTTCTTTTAGAATCTTCACGTAATGATTGTTATCACATGCTTAAATGAGGGGCAACTTTGTCGTTAAAAAAAAGATAATACTTAAGATAAATTAGGTTCTTTAATCACGCAAACTTTTAAACTATGGAGCGCCGTTTAAAAGAAAATAAAGTTGTGCTAAAAATGTACTGCAAAGCTTCAGATTTTATCTATAAGAGGCTTTTCAGAATATATTAGTTTACAGTTAGTTTTTCAAATTTTTTAAAGTTTTAGTTATGAACGACTCTTATGTAAACACATGTAAAGACACATGTAAACAAGCTTATTATAATGTATAGTCCAAAATGTATATATATAGTAAATAATAAGTATGTATAATTTGATTTACAATTGTGATGAAAGCGGCCTTTCATCTGTACCAAGTGGTTTTGTGTGAAGGGCTTTCGTGAGATACAAAAGTTAAATATTGGTGATCGTGGCACACTAACAACATACATGGTCACAGTCAATACAGCAGGGGACAGTTGACTACCATTTTTTCATATTTAAAGGAACATAGATTTCAGATGCATCTAAATTTCCTTTGGGTACAAAAATACATTGAGTAAAAGCGGATATATTGATTAAGAGATGTTTATTGACTTTTTTTACATCATTTTAATGAGTTTTTTTACAAAAGTGTATGGGAAAAAGGTACTTTTTTTTTGTATGAATAATTTGTGAAGCAATTTAATTAGCAATAAAGATGTATATTGAAATAATATGCATTCCACCTTATAGTACACATCACCTTCAACCACTTTACACACATGTTAATAAAATAGTTAAACATATATGTCTTAGGCCTTCTCTAATTGCTTAGCTGAAAATGATAATATTTCTATGCCTTGTTGAAACTTCCACATTATTTTTAACAAAATATTACAACTTTCACGTTATTGTTAACAAAATACGGCCCAACATACTTACAAAAAGAGGATTGATTGTTAATTTATTGCCCAAGTGACGTATTTTTCAATTAGCTTAGTTGTACTGACGAATTCGCCCCGTAATCGACGAATTCGCCCCTTATAACTTGATGATGAAGAAATCAAGTTCTACGCTAAAGTAACTTTAGAATTTATTTTAATTCAACACATAACAAAGTAGAAACCCTAATCAATAAAAAAAATTTTTTAAACTAGAAAAGTTTACTTATTTATATGCAATCTCATTTTGTTAAAGTAAAACCTGAAGAACTCAGGTTTTTTTTAGAGTATTTACACATTTTGCTGAAGAGAAACCTTTGGATATATATATATATATATATATATATATATATATATATATATATATATATATATATATATATATATATATATATATATATATTACCGAAAAAACAACAAAAAACAAAACACGTAACATGTATGAGATGCTTGATATTAATACAAGAACTAGCACAATTTGAGCAAAATTTTTTTTTGAATGATAATGGTTGGTTTGAAATGGGAACAATACATTAAAATGACTACTAAGAGAAGTTTAATAATGAGAGTTTTAAACAATGTAATGCAAAGTAACTGCCTTAAAAATTTCTGGTTTGTTTCATGTGCGCTTGCTTAATGTTGAAAAAAACGTTGAAGAAATAGTTTTATAATGCTTTGAAATAAAAATTGGATGTACGTGTGCTCATCAATCAAAGTATAAAAACATCAAAAGATTTACAATTAAAATGCATATTAGGTTTTAAGAAAAAGTTTCTTGTTTCTAATTCATCTAGTATATCCACATGTCAACGTCACACAATCCGACATAAACATGTCGTTTATGAATTTTTTCATCTGTTGTATGTATATATTCATTATATTCATACGTATAAAAATATAAAATGAAACCATCATATTTCTTAGTGCCTCTATATTCTCGTTGTTTTCAACATTGTATTAATTTTCATAAACTTTCATATATTTTTAGCATTTATAATAATATTTTTTTATTGTCATGAGAATTGATATAGTTATTAAAATAATAGATTTGTTCTTTTAAATTCAAGTTTATTAACTTTTAGTTATCTGTTAAATGCGTGTTCTTGACTGATTGGAAAGATCCAAAAACAGATGGACTTCATCTTTTATTAGAGTCATATAAATATGGAGATATTTATTTTCAAAATTTGACAGGTGGATACGACTTTGGAAAACGATTTCTTTATCATATGGCATGGGCCATGCAAAACTTCATCTTTGATTATTTCCTTCGAACTGATGATGATTATTTTTTATGTATAAAAAAACTTCTTGACGAAATACCAATGCCTCCTAAAAATCTCTATCATTGGGGTTGGGTGCATTGTATTAAAGATATGGTGCGTCCTGACGAAAGTATAATTTTATTATCAAAAGATTTAATTGAAAAATTTTTATACCAAGATCCTCAAAAAATGTTATGTCATCGTTGGGGTGGGCAAATGATTGGAATTTGGATAAATAATCTAGGTATAAACAATTTTCGTTATAAACATGATACCCGCTTACACCATGATCCGCCAGCTGAACACGTACCCTATTTTAATAATAAAACTGACATATGTTCTTCTTATATTGGAATTCATGGCAGTTATCCAAGTAAAATGAGATCGTTTTGGAACTCAAGTAATTTTAATACATTTATAAACAACAAAACACTCGATGAACACTGTGTATATTGCAAATATAATCAAACCATAAATTGGAAGTTATTTTTTGGTGAATGGAAAGCTGAGCCCAAATTATGCAAAGATAATCCTAATTGGGGTGGAATGTTTGGAGCTACCTATCCCGGACGCCAAGGTCCGTAAACAGTTTATAACAGTATTAAATTAGCTTTTGTTTTTATATCAATTTCAGCATATCGTTTGTTTTTACGGCAATTTCGATTTATTCAACATTTAGTTATTTATGGATATAATATTTTAAATAATTATTGATTTAAATTCTTATAGCTATACAAATTTTTTAATTCATAATTAGTTTTGAATATTTATTAACTTAAATAATTATTTGTAAACTTAACTTATTATTATTATTATCAAACTATAACGACAAGTCGTGAGAAATGGCAACTATAAAGACCATAAAATTAAAACTATATAGTTTAAAATTTTCATTTTTTTGTAAATTTATCATTATTGTTTTTAAAAATGTTTGTTGTTTTTCAGTTTTGACAGTTTACTGGTAGTTAATTCCATTTTTTGACTATCCTGTTTGAGAAGTTGTACCAAACATCAAACCTGTTTTGTTCTCTGGTTAGAAAGTTTCTTAGCCTTGTGCCATGGTCGTGATTTTCTTAAGTTGATCTTGAACAACTCAAGAAAAGTTTATTTTATTTAGCCTTTTTTGAATTTTGAATTGTTGAATTGGTCTCCTTTTGTTTGTCTTTCTTCCAGTGTTGTGAGACCAAGGCAGTGGATCCTATCCTCGTATGTCTTACCAATAACTTTTCTTACTAGATTAGTTGCCCTTCTCTGAACTGCCTCAGCTGCTTTAAGTATTCTAATTGGATCCCATATGGAAATGGTATTGACGTGAAGAGCATTTAAAAGTGGTAATTTTAAGGTATTAGATTGAGTTTTTCGGCTCACCCAATATGCGTTTTGAGTTTGCTAATACAGAATTTATTTCCGGTCCCATTTTGAGCCAGAGTTAATTAACACTCCTTTGTTTGCTTTTGGTTTAAATTTTTATGTATAAAATTTCATTGTTATTGTTTATGCCAGTAAAGATATGTTTAAATTTAACGCAATATTACCATGCTTTTAATATGCAAAAATTAGAATGAAAATTTTCCCGATTATTTAGAGCAAATCTAAAAAAAAATTTTGTACTTCCAATTCTAATTTTAATTTTAAAATTAGCGCAAACAAATGTCTAGATGGTTGTATCACAACTGTCTAAACAGTTATGATACATTCACATTTAAAGCTTTTTTAATTTTAATTATATTTGTTGTTGTATTATCGCTTATAAGCTCTTCAGTTCTTCTTCTAATTACTTCATTATGAATAACGCGACGAGCGCTACCTCTAGAACAAGGAAGTGTTGAATTCTCTTGATCGTATCTTTTAAAATTGATTGTATTGTCTCATAACATCTTACATATTTTGGGAAACGGAATATCACAGCATGAACCTTCAGATCAATTTCTTTAATCAACAACTAGTCTAAAAACAAATTAGAAAAAACAAGTCTCAAAACAAATTAAAAAACTAAATCAGGCGCTTTGCCTAACGGTATTAAAGTTAATGATAAAACTTTTTATGCTTCAAGCGATATTGCAGTTGAACTAAATAAGCATTTTATTTTAGCGGGGCCTAACTTAGCAAAAAATACTCCTTAAACTAGTAATTCTTATGAATTTTTACCTCAAAAAACAACAAATCTTAATTGCATTGAAATCTTTAAGGAATTTGAAGCTGCTTTCAAAACGATTTAACCAAGTAAAGCAACGGTATCAACGGAAACGTCTTTATAAATTCTTACAATTTTATTAAAAATATTCTATTTAAAATCTTTTCGTCTTGCGTTAGCCAAGGGATTTTCCCTGATCAACTTAAAATTGCCAAAGTAACGCCAATATTCAAGGGAGGGGATACAACTATTGTTAATAACTATTGACCTATCTCTGTTCTTCCTGTATTTTCAAAAATTTTAGAGAGAATCTTATATAACAAATTCAACACTCATCTTTCTGTAAATAATATTTTATTTAATAATCAATATGGTTTCAAAAAAAATAACTCCACAGAGCATGCAATAGTTTCAGTTTACACGTAATATTAACGAGTTGTTTAATAAATCTGAATATACATTAAGAATTTTTATTGATTTATCAAAAGCTTTTGATACTATTTATCATCAAATTTTTATTAAAAAGCTCGAACTATATGGAATCACAGGAGTCGTTTTAAAATCTGTAAAGAGTTATTTAAATAATCGTGCTCAATATGTACACATTGACGATAAATCAACAAAAAAGGTTACTAAATATTACGTGTGGCGTGCCACAAGGTTTTATACTCGGATCTCTTCTTTTTCTTATATATGTTAATGATCTTCATAAAGCATCCAGCCTGAGGACAATAATGTTTGCCAACGACACAAATTTATTTTTATCGCACAGCAACATTACTATATTATTTGAAATTATGAACTTAGAACTTAAAAAGGTTTCCGACTGGTTCAAAGTAAATAAACTTTCAGTAAATATTGACAAAAGTAACTGGACTCTATTTCACCCACTTTCCAAAAAAAAACTAATACTATACGTAACGACATCTATATTCATTGATAATATTCAAGTTAAAAGAGTAAAAACTACTCAGTTTTAAGGAACATATATTGATAAAAATCTTACATGGAGACAACACATCGAAAATTTAAGCAATTAAATTTCAAAAAGTATTGGAATATTATACAAATCAAAAAGCTATTTAAACATGCGCACTTTAATACAACTACTTTATTCACTTATTCACTCCCATGTTAACTATTCAAATATTGTGTGGGGCAGTACTAACAAAAGTAAACTAGAACCTCTTCATCGTCATCAGAAACATATAGCACGTTTAGTTAATTTTTGTGATAGACGAACTCATTCAAAGCCTCTCTTAAGAAAAATGAATGTTTTAAACATATAAACCCAAACACCTAAAGTTAAAGAAACAATCTATACATTCGAAACCTTGGTGGACTCCGGAATTAAGTAAAAAAGTTTTTTTCTTTCATTTTTAAAAATAGAGTGAAGTGGGATTCGTAAAAGACACTACTTCTTCTATCTTTAATCGCTACCTATTTGCTCGGAAGAATTTCCGCAAAGCCATCAAGCAGCCCAAAATAATAGGCTATATCAACAATACATAAAAATTGAAAAACTTAAAAAATCTTACCCAAAAAACCTCTGGAATACTTTTAGAAGTATGAAAAAGGATTCAAATTCAAAACTTTTTATTATAATTAATAAAAAAGATAAAGAACCCATCACCGCAGAGTTTGCTACTATTTTTGAAAAACGGTTAAACACTGAGAGAATAACTGATGGAATTACTAATCTTTGAATTCCACCTCGCAAAAATCCTGATGAGATTTTAATTACTAATGAAAATATTAAAACAACTATTTCATGTCTAAAATCAAATAAGTGCTAGGATTATTACAACATCTCTGCAGAACATTTAAAACATGCCCAATGTAAAGCATTAACACAATTGTTAAGAAAGTTATTAACTTTTCAATTAATCACGGATGGACCCCTACATCAATGTCAACATCAACTATCATACCTCTAGTTAAATCCTACAAAAAATCACTTACCGATCCAAACAATTACCGCGGTATCAGCATAATTCCAATATTTACTAAACTCTTAGAATACCTTATCTTACTCATATGCCCGGAGATAAAATAAACTAAATATAGATAAAAAGAAACTCACCAACTTCAATTTGGTTTTAATAATAAGAGCTCAACCCTCCATTTTGAATTTGTTGTAAGCGAAACAATTAAGCATTATTATCGCAACAATTTGCCTGTTTATTTATGTTCACTAGATGCTGAAAAGGCTTTTGACAGCTGCAACTGGGATGTTCTTTTTAATAAAATTCATTTTGATAAAAATCTACCTTTCCAAATAGTTAACACTATATCTTCTTTATACCGTAGCGGCAGTGCAACTGTCTCATACCTAGTTTGCAAATCAGTCTCATTTGATCTTAAGCAAGGAGTGAGACAAGGATCGATTCTGTCACACTACCTATATAACTTATACACTGAGAAGCTACTCGAAACTATAAAAAATGATAAAATTATTGGTACTACTATATATGGAAACTTGACTTGTGTTGTAGCTTATGCTGATGACATCATTCTTCTCAGCTCTACTCTCTCGGGCCTAAAAAAACTTATTTCAACGTGTAACATATACAACATTTTAAACGGGATAAAACTTAATGCTTTCAAAACGGAACTTTTGCTCTCTGGAAAAAGATAAATAATGAACTGCACAATATCTCTAGACAACCATCAAATTATACTTCGTGAGAAACTTAATCTTCTCGGCTTTACTTGGGATACAAAAAAATCAATTTTTGCTCCACTAAATAGAATGAATATTGATAGTAGGGTATCAAATTTCCGGGCAACAGTGCAAACTCTGATTCAATCTGGAATCCGGTTTGCTCATCCAAGATCTATTATCCAATTATATAAATCATTAGTAGTTCCGACGTTAACTCATAGTCTAGAGCTCTGTGAAAATAAAGACTCAACAATGAAAAGACTCAACACATTTGGAAGGAACGCAGTTAAAGCAGCCGTAGCGCAGTGGTAGCACACTTGCCTCAGAAACGTAAGATCCGTGGTTCAAACCCCGCCTCTGGGCAAGTTTTGCGACATCGGTTGGGAAGGAGGCGTGAACTTCCTATTAAATGCTCTTCCGCGGTGCTCTGTGATAAGACCGTAAGGACTTCTTGGGGCACCTAAAATCAACATAAAAAAAAAAAAAAAAAAAAAAAAAATCAATTCAAAAAATCAAATTTAATGTCTCTAAGTATAGTAAAAACTATATACACTCTCTATTTAAAATTAAGGAGATGTCTCTAAGTATAGTAAAAACTATATACACTCTCTATTTAAAATTAAGGAGATGTCAAATTATATACACCAAAACAAAATAAATCTATTTATCCGCCTTTTAAACAATAAAATAACCTTTGGAATCATTAACTCCCAACTTAACCACTGTTCAGCTAAATTTTCTTTTTTAGATGATATAAAAGAATTATATGATAATCCTAAACTGAATATGAAAACCTTAATGGTGGTTACAAAAAAAGTAAAACTTAAAGTCTTAGAGGACGTAATTCCTGAAACTACTCTTCATATTTTGGTACACGCGGTTCAATGTTGGAATGTAAAAGAACAGCGAACAATTTTTAAAAAACACTTGAAGAAAACATTCCTAAATAATACCTTTTTTTACCTCTTTTTCTTAGATTGTGTTTTTACCTTGTTAATATATTTTGCAGAGGGTGATTAATTAAATATTAAAAATAATAATAATATAATATATCAACTTAACGTATATAGGGCTGTAAATCCTGGCTCGTGTTCGTGAACGGCTCGGTGATCGGCTCGACAATAGCTCGTTCATGTTCGGCTCGAATGGAAGACGAGCCGGGCTTGAACAAAAAATTAGGCTCGTTTATTAAACGAGCCGAGCTTGAACATCATAGGCTCGTTCATATAGGCTCGATTAAAGCTCGAATATATATATATATATATATATATATATATACATATATATATATATATATATATATATATATATATATATATATATATATATATATATATATATATATATATATATATATATATATATATATATATATATATATATATATATATATATATATATATATATATATATATATATATATATATATATATATATATATATATATATATATGCAAGCTTGGCCTGGCAAGCTTGGCTCGTTCGGCTCGATTTACAGCCCTAAATGTATATAATATTCTTTGTTTTATCTACAAATGTAAAACGAAATTATCCCCGTCTCCTTTTCATAGTTTATTTATAACAAAACAAAAAAGTAAATATGATCTATGAAATGAGGATTTTTTTTGATACAGCCATTTTCGAAAACTAATCATTGTAAATTTTGCGTATCATTTCGTGGACCGTATCTTTGGAACAAAATTGTCTTAAATAATTTTGATTTTTCTTTTGAATGGAATTACATATTTTTTTAAAAAAAAAGTTGAAAAAAGTAGTTTTTGAAATTGGCAATATACAAATGTACTTTTAAACCTATTGAAATTTTTTCATCTATAATTTATATCGGTTTATATGATTTGTAATGTATGATTTTTCTTGTTATGATTTGTAACTCAATTATTTACTTATCTTCAAGCTTTATTGCTATTATATTATCTGTCTAATTAACTTTAAGAAAATTTTTGTGAACTTTTTTGTTTTTTTGTAGTTTTTTCAATTTAAATCTTGTTATTCTATTATTATTGCATAACACTTTTTTATTTACTACGTAAAATAATTAACTTGTAAAAATGTAACAACGTCTTTTTACCGCGGTACTCGACGACAAGACCTTACGGTCTTCTACGAGTTTCCGCGTTCTTTTTATATATATATTAAATATCTTCACTTGTAATTGTTTGTATTTTTTTATTTTAGCTTGTAAATTTTATAAAATATTAACGTGATGTTTTAAAATGTAATAAAAAATAAAAAAAAATTAAAAAAAATAAAAATTCTGAGTTCTGAAATTCTGAACAAAACGGAATTTCGCGGCATGATTTAATTAAAATCCAATATACACATGCACTAAATGTTTTAATAGAGTATCGTGGTTGTTTTTTGACAATCATGCATATTTTAATTGAACGTTGTGGCTGTTTTAAATGAACACCATGGTTGTTTTAAATGGATTTCATATATGTTTTAAATGGATGCAAAACCCAATATGATCATGAGGTGAAATTTATCCCTTCTAGCCAAAGTACTTGGTTAGACGGCATGTTTTTATTCTCATATGATCAGCCCCATATATAAAAAGAAAATCCTTATTTTCTTTTTATATATGGGGATGAACGCTTTAAACTTGGAAATAACTTGAAAAAAGTTTCGTTTTTATCGTACATGTAAACACTCTTACCAAATTTATCTAAACCAATACAAGTTCTGCATGTATGAATATGTAGATTAGTTTCAAATCTTAGGTTGTTAGTTTTTCCAATACATGTTGTTTTTCCATCACATACATTACACAATAGAAAATAAAAAAAGTTTTTAGAATTACATGGCACTGAAGTTTTTTTTTTTAATTTATTATTTAGATGCCCCAAGAAGATCTAACGGTCTTGTCACAGAGCACCGCGGTAATGCATTTAACTAGGAAGTTCACGCCTTCTTCCCTACCGTGACGCGAGAATATGTTCAGAGTTCGTTTCGAACCTGGATCTCCTGCTTATAGGGCAAGCGCTCTAACCACTGAGCCACGACCGCAAAAGTTTTAATGTTCCATATTTTACCTAAAGATGTTGTAAAATGGTTGGCAAACTGAAGGTATACAGTGCACAGCTTACAACGTTTAGATGATTTTAAAACTCATTTTAACATCTTTCATTTATTGTTTATGTAGGCTGGTTCTCTATCAAAATTTGATGTCGGGGAAGTTCGTATACATAGGTCTACCCCACTTTATTTGAAAACTTTAAATTTCTAAATTATGCTTCTCAGTAAGGGGATTAGCTAAAATCTTTTTTTTTTTTAATTTTTCAATCTTATTTTGATTCGCACTGAGCGTTGCTACGTTAAGTTATAATCGGAAAACGCTTTTTGATGGATAAAGTAACTTTTGGCGCTGGTATCATAGATAGTTTTACAATCCTAGAGAAAATGCTTTTCTATCAGTTTTTTTATATTATATCGTTTGTAACTTACGTACTAAATACGAAGTTAAATAAGCTTCCTCTCTATCTAGATTTGTAAAAAGATTTTTCTCAACATTTTTCACGAGGCTATTAAGCCTTTTATCTAAGGCCATACAGTTTGCTTGTACCTGGAGGCTATATGTGCGTAAAAAATTTGTTTGATAATGAGGTAGATTAATGAATTTTGTTTGATGCAGGATTTTTTCGCGGTTGTTTTAGAATGACCTTTTTACGCGTTGACTTATTTTTCAATTTTGAATAAATTTGTCAATTGTTATAACTATTATAACTATTAGTCAAATGTTATTTTAAGTAAGACTAGATAAATTTGTTGGAAACAGTCTAAGATTAAATAAATTTTTAATCATATTTATGTGTCTATCTTTGTTTTCAATTTATTATGTTTAATCTAATTTTCAGAGTGCGGTCCAAGGTACAGTAGCTTGTGGCTCATTGTATCTAGAGTCAATAATTTTTAAACCTTTCTACATGACGGAATTTCATAAATTAAGTCATACGTATACAATTAAAATTAATTAGAATAAAATGTAATAATATCAAAGTTACCAATTTTAGAGAAGTCTGGGACCTTGAAGTCTAAAAAATGAGAATTTCAATATTTCAAACATTTTTTAGTTTACCCAGTAAGATCATTAATAATGGATCAGTTAACCAGTAAAAATGATAGAGTTTTTAAAGCTCGACTACACTTATTAGCACCACATAAAGAGAAGTGAAAAAAATAATACCTTTTGTAACTACAAATCTTACAAACATTAATTTTGAAAATTAAAAATTTACCTAAGTAATAAAAGTAGAAGATATTGCTTACTTTACTTTCGAATTATTATTTGTTTTAATGTTCTAAAATCTGTTATTTTTTTTTTAATGAAAAAATTCAAATATCACGTTGCAACAAAGCGGAATAGCCGCAAGACAAGTTTAAATAACCTCTAATCTTAAATGTTAACAATATTAATAAATCTCAAACAGTTATCGATAAATACCCGACAAGTTATCGATAAATACCCGACAGGTTAGATATAAAATTTTTGTTAAATACTTTTTATTTTAAATATTTACATTCAATATTTTATTTATATCATATTGTCACAAGAGCTTCACAAAAATTACAAATAGTTTCCTCAAGACAGCACAATTGATCCGATCACTAAAAAAGAAAACATTAAAATTAGCACAAAAAAATTAAAAAACACTTAATATAACCTAAAACCTGCTGACTTACCTAATTTAAAATATTTTACCATTTGCCTCTCTTACTCCAATCTTTAGGCTGCCAATGTAAACATTTTGGGTCAATTCTTATTTTTCGCTTTTTCATTGATTTCATGTGCGATTCAAGAACGTCTTTAGTTATACATATCACATATTGGCCTTTATAATACTGAAGCAAGTTTAGATGCTGTAAAGTTGAAATAACATCCTCCTTACGAATACTCGTCATCTCACATATTTCGCTAAATAATAATTATAAATTTTGAGTTTGATTAGTCAAGCTTATCATGGAATCTGATAATGCCAACCTAGCTGATCCAAGAGCGCCACTTATATGAAAAGAGAGGGTACAAATCAAGAAACGATGGGTTCACTGGTTAGAGACTTATAGCAGTTATAGTTTAAATTTTGTTAGTTTTTTGCTACTTATACCTCAAAACGTTACCGATTACTGTGATACTTGGTCATTATTTTTAAAATACTAGTTACATGAGTGTTCTACTATGTAATACCAATAATTTTTATTGTAATTGTTTTATTGGTACATGTACCATTTTGATTTTATAGACCAAAATATTGATTTACTATTTAAAGTGTTGTTTAACTTGACTTATGCATACCGTGAATATATCAACATTTCATAAAGTATAAACTAATACTAAAATGCAGGAAAAAAAAAAAAAAACGAAAAAAAAAAACGAAAAAAAAAGGTGCAAAACCTGATCAAAAAAACTTCCAGCTGGTAAAACAAACAATAAACACGTCTCTGTTAACAAAGTGTATTTTGTATCTTGACACCTTAAATACACTTACTTTAATTGGGAAAATAACTATTTAAACCCTATATTTTAAACTGTATATACATTAAATAGCCTTTGATTACATTTTAAGACATGTTTTTTGATTTTCTTCACATAAAATAAATAATAAATAGCTCAATGTACTATTTTAGTTCAAATACTCTGCAATCCTATTTATATATATTTGTATAATGTCGACATTATAATATATATATTTATAATGTCGCTGATAATAATGTAAACTTTCAGTGTAATTAAGCTTTACAAAATTTAAAAAATCTCGTGAATTTTAATTTTTCAAAAATTAAATTTTGGTTAACTCTCACCATCATATAAAACTTATATAAACATATTAAATCCTAATGAAATTATGATAAAAAATGAAACTATGATGAAACAGCTGTTAAAAAAATGCGTATTTGACTACAGCCCCACTATAATTAGAATTGTTTTATTTATACTATATTGAATAAAAAGGATGTGTGGGAATAAAAAAATTCCCAACCATCCTCTTTATTCAAACTCAAACTTTTTATTCAATATTTTATATTAATATAATAAACTTTAAATAAACTTTGTTTGGAAAATTTCACCATTAGTAAACAAATAAAGTAAACACCAGATGATAACCCTTTATTAGGCAAATAAAATTATTTAACGAACATAATAGGCAATTATACACCATCATTTTGCCTTATTTGCTGAGACTTTGTGTTTTTTGGCTTGCATTTGCAGCTGATATCGAAGCCCAAATACTGGCCAACTTAATTGGGAATGCATTGGGTCAAGATTGGCTAATATGTTTTATATTTTTAAACCAATTGCTGCGCAAAATACGGATTTTTTTAATATGGTGCACATTTCTGATTAACACAATCATTTTTCATCAATAAGTTATTATTATAGAACTGTTTCAAAGTTTATATTCAATTTTAAAGTATACATATATTCAAACTTCAAATATTTTTTTCCTTAGTTTTTATTTATTAAATTTTTAGCTTACATAAAGTTTATATAAGGAATTTTGATAGATCATCAATACTGTGCCATCCTATTGGTCCAAGAGAAAAAAAAAATTAAATCTGTCAACAAAATTATGTTTATATTGATACAAAATCTTCTTTCTTTGTTAATAATTCAAAATATAAATTAGTATATTGTTAATAATACTTTAAAAAGAGATAGTGTTATATCTCATGACTGCTATCCTTTTAATGACATTGTGGAAAAAAAATGAATTTGCTGATTGTAATCAACTTTCATTGGATTACTTCACTGCAAGTGATGATAATTCAAAATATGATAACAATTGAGTTAAATATGCTGAATTTAAATTCAATAGATTGAAAAAAACTGAATGAAAATAAAAATTATGATTAACTTATAACAAACAATTGAGAAATATTTATGAAGCAGGATATAATTAAACCTATTGATATAGATTAATTATTGGATGATACAAGCGAGGAAATTAGACATAAAATTGAAAAATAAAATAAAAGGGTTATCACTTGATTTAGGAACGTAAGCAGAATGTCTTTCTATTCCAATGGTTATAATATCTTCACTTTTGGATATACTTAGAGTGTTGCACCCATCACTTCCAAAAGATCCACAAACTTTACTTAAAACACGAGTTAGCTCTGTAAAAATAATTGAAGGTGGCTCTTATTTTCACTTTGGTATTGCATTGCAATACCAAAGTGTTGTTTCCATTTCATTGCAACACATAAATTTTTTGCTCCATTTTTTCACAAATCTTTGCTTTGAAACTTCATCAATTTCTCTACAAAAATACAAAAACAAATATGATACTTCCATACAAGTCCAAATTTTATTTGTATTTCTTTGTTTGTATTGAGATATCGTTTATATACAAGATATTAATATGAAAAATTGTTTTCAGTATTATATAGTATGTGGAATGAAAGTTATAATTAAATTTATTTTAAAGTAAATTTGAAAATTAAAATAACAAAATTTGATAAATTATTTAAAAAAACACATCTAATAAGATACTAAAAACACTTGAATACATTTTTTTATACTTTTATTATGACTTTTTTCATATAAGTACTCTATGCTGTTAAAGCCTATAGCTGATTTAATTATCATTGCATTTATATAGTGATGATTAAATTTATTATTTTAACTAATTTTCATGCTGATCTTTCATTTATTTCAGATGGTATTATATTATTTAGTTGAATTTGAGGATGGAGTGGTAGTGAGGTAGGTATTTGAGGATTGAGTGGCAGTGAGGTAGGTATTTGAGGATGGAGTGGCAGTGAGGTAGGTATTTGAGGATGGAGTGGCAGTGATTCCTGATTGCTGGTTAATACAAGAAATAGCTACATGTTATTGGCCTCAAGGAATTGGTGCTACACCATTGGCAAATATGAGAAAATTGGCAATTCTCAATCACAAAGACTGGCCTCTCTACCTTATATAAGAATATTGAAAATTAAATACATTTAATTTGTATATGTTTATGTATAGTTTTGATTATAAGATTGTTTTTCTGCAAATTATAATTTTACGAAAAAGATGAAAAAGGCAGAGGCTAAACCTTTATACCACACTTATCCCAACACCTTCCTGTCGACTAGTCAACTTCCACCGCTTCTACAGATTGAATTAATAAATCTTCATCAGCTAGTTCTAGCACAAATATCACATCTGTAATTCATAAGTTTTGCATTTTAAATATTATTTTGGCATATATGTTGATCAAATATATTTGCAAAAAAAAAAATGTTTTTTTTTTTAACATCATGTGTGTGGAGTCTGAAAATACTTTTTATTTGGAACTTAATTTAATTGAGAACAAAAAAATTGCAATTAAGAAATAGAATACGCGATTAAGAATTATATGTAATTAAGAACCGTAATATTTGTTCTTATATAGTTTAAAAATCTCTCAAAATCTTTAAAGCTCTAACACAGAATTTATGTAAAAATTTTGTGACTTCTAAAGTTCTTTGAGTCCTTTTAGGGACTCTGTATACCTGAACATTTCCTATAAATAAAACTTGTTTTTGTATAGTTCCTGATTTAATAAAACAAGTAGTGTTGTTAGACCAAATTTTTACAATTTTGTAACATTTCATTTTATTTATAGGAAAGAGAATTGCTTTAATATTTGTTTGACATTTATTTCAATGTCTATATACTATACTGTTAAACTAATCATTATATTAATTGTGTGTAATCTTCTTGTGTTATTATTTCAACCTCTATTGAGTATATGGCTTTTAAGTGAGAATTCTTCATACAGAATTAGTCTCTTAGTGAATGCTTTAGAAACCATTTTCAGTGTAATTCTCAAAAGGGAATTACTTATTCTGCAATCACTAATCATTATTCTGAAAAATTGTTAGAAATTATTGTCCAAATTATTGTCCATTAATGTTTAAGTTTACTCAAAATTCTTCCTGATCTTGTGACAGTAATCTGGCAGTTTGTTGATTCATCATGATTTTTATTTTGATCATTGTTTGTGTTTTTCGACAGTTTTCTTTTATCCATGAACACATCTTTTGACTCATTAGTATTGCTTCCATCATCTGATAAATTAACAAATCGAAGATTTAACCAAGTCATGTGAAACATGCCTAGAATACTCCAAAATGCAAACAAAGGAATCAATGATATCAAGTGAAATACCAAATCATCCATTTCAAATCGTAGGAATTGATTTATTTCACTGGAATAATCAAAATTTTATAATAGTGGTAGACTATTATAGTTGTTTTTAAGAAATCAAAAGAACATTTTTTTTTTGCAAATATAATTGATCAACATATATGCCAAAATATTATTCTAAATGCAAAACTTATGAATTACATATATGATATTCGTGCTAGAACTAGCTGGTGAAGATTTATCAATTCAATCTGTAGAGGTGGTGGAATCGCAAACATTGATAAAGAAACTAAAAATGATCTTTTTCAGACTTGGCATACCGCAGATAGTACGGAGCGACAAAGGCACACAACTCACATCTTTAGAATTTTGAAAATCTAGTAAAGGGTGGGAGTTGAAACATATAACTTGTAGTCCAAAGTGTCAACAATCAAATGGAATGTCTAAGATACATGTGCAAATAGCAAAAAACTTGCTGACCAAAGCAAAAAGATCAAATCAAGATCTGTACATAGCTCTACTAGAGGTAAAAAACACTCCAATTTATGGTTTTGCATCACCTGCTCAACTCATCAGTTGAAGAAGATTGAGATCAACACTTTTAACAGCTCTGTCACTACTTCAAGTAAATCCAATTGACGTAAATAAATATATGAACAATCGTGAAAAAATTCAAAATTCACAGAAGAAATGACAAAAACGCAAAAACATTAGAAAACATATGCAAGGCAGACTGTTTGTACCCATGATGGAATCAAATGGCAACCAGAAAAAGTTGTTGAGAGCAAACAACTGCC